CTTCAGCACTCTCCACATTTTCCCCTTGATCCCGTCTTTGGACAGTTGTTTCTACAGCCCATTTCCCTACACTGTGTCGTATGCCTTTTTCACGTCCAGGAAGAAGCAGTACGTCGGCTTTCCCGCCCTCTTTCTACCTTGGATGATTCTCCCTACCGTGAACACGTGGTCTACGCACCCCCTCTTCTTTCGGAAACCTACCTGGCCCTTACTAATNAGTACGTCGGCTTTCCCGCCCTCTTTCTACCTTGAATGATTCTCCCTACTGGGAACACGTGGTCTACGCACCCCCTCTTCTTGCGGAAACCTGCCTGGCCCTCACTAATGCTATGTTCCTTCTCCAATACTCCCACTATCCTATCGTTCAGCAGCTTACAGAACACTTTTCCTACTGTGTTCAACAGTGTGATCCCCCTGTAGTTTCCTGGGTCAGTCTTGTCTCCTTTCTTGAACAAGTTCACAACCACTCCTTCCCTCCATCTACTTGGCGTATACTCGTTTTTCCACACCCAATTGTACAGCAGTACCATCAGCTGGATCATCCCCTTCCCCCCAAACTTCATGAACTCGTTGACTATCCCATCCGCTCCTGCCGCTTTGTGGCACTGCAGCTTGTTCACACGAGGGGTGGGTAGGTGCGACAATGCTGGCGCCAGGACACGTAGCTGGGACGAACACACACAAGATGGGACAAAATATAGTGCCGGAACTTGTCACGCCGATTTCAGTTGACCGGCCATATATCAATAATAACTTGTTTTCCATTTTTTTTAGCCTTGATCTCCATCGCAAACCCCACAATAGTTGTTCCTGTGGACCAAATCGATTTGAGACGTTCCTGAAAATTCATGGTTTTCGTATAGGAACAGACTTACTTGCGGGAAAAATGGGAACGTACCCAAAAATGAGAGTTGGCGTTTTTCTTCAGAACCATCGGTGTATCACAGAACCAAAATGAGACGTAACCAGAAACGGGTATACCCGGGTACTTTATCACCACTTTCGGGTACACTTAGAAATCAACGCGCCGGCACCCCCAGGTACCCCCAGGTAGCCACCGGCATCTCCAGACCGTCTGGTGTCACCGGTGTTGGTTACTGGTGTACCCGGAAGTGGTCAATTTTGTACCCAGAAATGGTCACATTTTCCTGGCGCCCGACAATACTAAAACCCGCAGGATAACCCGTGTACCGCACATACCCGCACGATACACCATGTACCGCACATACACCACACACAGCAGGGTGGTACCAATCTTCGACAGCCTCCTCCGTAGATCGCGGCGAAAAACCAACCGCCGTGTGCCGTGTGCCCGCCCCCGGAGGCAGTTCCTCACCACTTACAGCACTTCTCACCCACGCACCACACGGTTATCATGCTGGAGAAGGGCAAACAATACAAAGACGCGAAAGCCTTGAAGGTACATGTGGCGGCCCTGTTCGCGGGAGCTGGCCGTAGCTTTCATTCCGGTAACGGAGGCGGCAGACAAAAGAAGCATATCTGCAATGGCGCCAAAGGAAGATGTCTGGCTGAAGTGCGCGCCTGCAAGCAGAGGTCGGGAGAGTTCAAGGTGACGTTCATCATCCCGGACCACAATGACTGCTCTGGCGGCAAGGTCGGAGCGAGATCGGCTGCGCTCGAGGGTTTCGCCAGTGCTGCCATGGTCAGCAACCCGACCGTGAAGGGCACGGACCTGAAAAGGAGCCTAGAGCAGCAGACCGGGCTCAAAGTCAGCTACAGCGCGGCGTCACGCCTGAAGGTCGCGGCTACAAGGGCGTCGAAGGAGCAACTGGAGCACGGGTACCGCATCATGACCTCTTACTGCAAGGAACTGGTGAAGGACTGCCCGGGATCGATTGCGGTGGTGCAGGTGGGTGGGTTATCAGTTCTCAGCGGTGGTTGAATTTCGTGGGTAGGAATGGCTTAGATGAATAGTGAGGAATGGCGTCTGCTGTGTGTAGAGTTCACCCCCGACGTTAGCTGTACCCCACCGTCCACAAGTACTCACGTAAACGTGGCTCTAAATCTGCGATTCCGTTGAAGAAGCCGGAGCTCTGGTTGACATGGCGGTGGCAGCGCCACAAAAATGGATGGCTAATGATGCCTCTTGATGCAAAGAAAGGATGGACAAATAGGCGGGAAAAGTTGGGTTGATTTGAATTTATTTGAATTTGACCAAAACCATATCTTGTTTTGTGTTCAGGGAGTGTTCCACGTCTATTTTGTAGGGACAATGTTTCAATATTTTATAATGTGTTTGAAATTTGAAATCGAACTGATCCCATCCCCCTCCCCCCCTTCGATGTGTTTCGCCGTCCCCTGCGCTCCTCTGTACTGCTGTGTCAGAGGGAGACTACCGGCAGGTTCCGTAGTCTTTTCTTCATGCTCGGGCGTGCTGCGTACGCTGCGGTGCGAAGCCCGATCAAGGTGTGTGTCACGCAAAGTTGGGACTGGCCCGTTCCATTTTTAATCGGAACACACGATGTGCACGGCGCATGTTGTAACCCATTGGAGTATTTAGTTGTAACACCACGTAGACGACGTTGAATGCAGTCTACCCCTGTGTCGAGTGTGTCACTTGCGCGCCCGGAGATGTGTTCACGAGGATGTGGGCAACCGTCTGGGGTTTACATGGTGGACGAGTGCACTGCCCCCCCATGACTCCTCTTGTACCTAGTTTAGGGGAGGGGGAGGTGAACTCATGTAAACGCATGCCGTAGTCGTTAGACCTTTGTCCTCGCATTCGTAGAATGCCGGACGGAGCACGCCGGGTTCTCACCGACCGGACCAGGCTCTCACATGACCAAGCGCGAAGCGCCGTGAGGTATTCGGCGAGTCGCATGCAGGATGCGGATGCGATGCATCCTGCTAAGGGTGTCCGGCATCGTGGGCTTGCTTCCTTGCAGCATATGGATGACAGCTGGAAATGACTCGATAATTTATTTTCTGGTGTATTCACTTGCTCTTTTCACTTCCAGAGACAGTTGGAGCACTGCGTAAACTGCCTCGAAGGTGCTCACCCAATTTAACACAACGTTGGTGTGATCATCCCGTTTGCNCTGCTAAGGGTGTCCGGCATCGTGCGCTTGCTTCCTTGCAGCATATGGAAGACAGCTGGAAATGACTCGATAATTTATTTTCCGGTGTATTCACTTGCTCTTTTCACTTCCAGAGACAGTTGGAGCACTGCGTAGACTGCCTCGAAGGTGCTCACCCAATTTAACTCAACGTTGGTGTGATCATCCCGTTTGCGCGGAGTGAGGGTTCTGTTCAGTGACACAAAAAAAACGAAGGCAAAAACAAAAAAGCGGTTACCTGCTTGTCGACCCCAACGATGCGATCGGCTTGTTTCACAATGCGTTGCCAAGCGACGAAAACCCGACCCCGGGTAGGGAGGTATAGTAAAGAGATGAAAACGATAAAGGGATCGACCCCCACCATCTTTGTTGCCCTGCTATTTGCGTGGTGCCCGCTTTCCACTCCCAACAACATTGCCGGCCTCGATGGAGATCGGCGTCTTGTTGGTGGCATCTATGTCTCGAAGACCTGAGTTGTTTTCCTTCCGCGCCGGGTGAGACCGGTCGATGCCCCCACGCCAACGCTCAAGCTTTTTGTACATCCCTTTTTGCCTGTGCAAACATGTTGCCATTCCTTCGAAAGAGATCGACTGGAAGATCTTCGAAGATCGTCCGTCGTGTGCTAACTTCTCTGCCCTTCTTGCAGAGCGACGTTATGCATGCATGTCGCCCATGGCATTGATTTGGCGTTTTGACGAAATTGCCTTGACGCTTTCCCTCCCTCTTTTCTGTAAAAAAAACGTCCTCAGGTCGTGGGAATGGATGGGGCACACCTCAAGGGAAAGTGGAACGGTCAGATGCTGACGTTGACGTGCAAGGACGCCAACAACGAGAACATCCACGTCGCGACGGCGATCGGACCGGTCGAGAACACCGACCTCTACAAAACTTTGATCAGAGGTTGCAAGAAGAACCCGAAAATGAGGGACTTTCTGGAAGACTCCAAGACAACCTTCTACACCGACCAGCACAAGGGGGGGAAATNGTGAGTAAAAGTATGATGGGATTTGTTCGAGACGTTGTTGACGAGTGGGAGGTGCCTGGGATATGTGTTAATAAGGGTTAGTTGGGTGGCTGTGATGTGCGTTATGAAGTATCAAGCATTTCGTAGGTGTGGTCAGATGTGACATGCGGTGTTGTCTTGGTTAATCCCTTGCCTAGTCAAAACCCCCGGTACGAATGGTTGGGGTTCGGGGCGGTGTTCTTCGAGCGTTCGGTGAGCTGTTTTCCTTCTCGTTCTTTCTCCCCCCCCAAAAAA